AATGGGCTGAGAAATCAAGTCTCACTAATGACCAACATAGCCCTTGTTTTGAGACCAAAGACTTCTTCCCTCCTGAGCATCGGATACAATAACCATTGTACTTTTGAGCTAATGTGCCTTGTTGAAATAATTGTAAAAAATACTTAAATAAAACATAATGTCTGGCTTCATAGCTCAGTGGTTAGAGCACTGGTCTTGTAAACCAGGGTTCGTGAGTTCAAAATTCACTGGAGCCTTTTGTAAGACCTGTTTTGACACCACAGAATTCTAACTTGTTGAGACAAAAGTGATATTTTTAGAATTTAAATGTGAGGCTGTCAGAGAGTGTAGTTTCTTGCTTAGTGGTTGCAAAACTGGATTTTGTAAACTTTGGGTTGTGAGTTAAAATCTTATTGCCCCCCCTAGTTAGTCTTTGATTTGACACCAAAGACTTCTTACCTTGGACCATGGGTTGAGAGATCAAATCTCACTCACACTCTTGTAAGTCTTTTGACACCAAAGTCCTCTCACCCTCCCTAACATTGGACACAATGGCTCTTAGGCTTTTAAGCTGCAGTGCCTTGTTGATGTAATTATGTGGTTCCATAGTTCAGTGGTTAGCTCCCTGGTCTTGTAAATAATGGGCTGAGAAATCAAGTCTCACTAATGATCAACTTAGCCCTTGTTTTGAGACCAAAGACCTCTTCCCTCCTGAGCATTGGACACAATAACCATTGTACTTTTGAGCTAATGTGCCTTGTTGAGATAATTGTAGAAAATATTCAAAGTAAACACAATGTCTGACTACATAGCTCAGTGGTAAGAGCACTGGTCTTGTAAACCAGGGGTCGTGAGTTCAAAACTCACTGGAGCCTTTTGTAAGACCTGTTTTGACACCACAGAATTCTAACTTGAGACCGAAGTGATATTTTTTTAAATTTCAAAGGTGAAGCCGTCAGAGAGTGTAATTTGTTACTCAGGGGTTAGAACACTGGTTTTGAAAACTTTGGGTTGTGATTTAAAATCTCACTGCCCCTCTAGTTAGTTTTTCATTTGACAGCAAAGTCTTCGTACCTTCCCTAGCATTTGACAATATGGCTATTGCTGCTGTGCCTTGTAGACACAATTGTTTGGCTCCATAGCTAGGTTGTTAGATCACTGTTGTGTTTAACAATGGGTTGTAAGTTCAAATCAAATTGACTCACTTTTTAGACTTTTGACACCTAAGACCTCTAATAGACCCTAGCATTTGGACACAATGGCTATTAGACTTTTAAGCTGCTGTGCATTGTGCATATAATTGAATGGTTGCATAGCTCAGTGTTAGAACACTTGTCTTGTAAACCATAGGTTGTGTATTCAAATCTCACTGATCAACTAGTTAGACCTTTTTTGACACCAAAGACCTCTCACCCTCCCTAACATTGGACACAATGGCTATTAGGCTTTTAAGCTGCAGTGCCTTGTTGATGTAATTATGTGGTTCCATAGTTCACTGGTTAGCTCCCTGGTTTTGTAAATAATGGGCTGAGAAATCAAGTCTCACTAATGACCAACATAGCCCTTGTTTTGAGACCAAAGACTTCTTCCCTCCTGAGCATCGGATACAATAACCATTGTACTTTTGAGCTAATGTGCCTTGTTGAAATAATTGTAAAAAATACTTAAATAAAACATAATGTCTGGCTTCATAGCTCAGTGGTTAGAGCACTGGTCTTGTAAACCAGGGGTCGTGAGTTCAAATCTCACTGGAGCCTTTTGTAAGACCTGTTTTGACACCACAGAATTCTAACTTGTTGAGACAAAAGTGATATTTTTAGAATTTAAATGTGAGGCTGTCAGAGAGTGTAGTTTCTTGCTTAGTGGTTGCAAAACTGGATTTTGTAAACTTTGGGTTGTGAGTTAAAATCTTATTGCCCCCCCTAGTTAGTCTTTGATTTGACACCAAAGACTTCTTACCTTGGACCATGGGTTGAGAGATCAAATCTCACTCACACTCTTGTAAGTCTTTTGACACCAAAGTCCTCTCACCCTCCCTAACATTGGACACAATGGCTCTTAGGCTTTTAAGCTGCAGTGCCTTGTTGATGTAATTATGTGGTTCCATAGTTCAGTGGTTAGCTCCCTGGTCTTGTAAATAATGGGCTGAGAAATCAAGTCTCACTAATGATCAACTTAGCCCTTGTTTTGAGACCAAAGACCTCTTCCCTCCTGAGCATTGGACACAATAACCATTGTACTTTTGAGCTAATGTGCCTTGTTGAGATAATTGTAGAAAATATTCAAAGTAAACACAATGTCTGACTACATAGCTCAGTGGTAAGAGCACTGGTCTTGTAAACCAGGGGTCGTGAGTTCAAAACTCACTGGAGCCTTTTGTAAGACCTGTTTTGACACCACAGAATTCTAACTTGAGACCGAAGTGATATTTTTTTAAATTTCAAAGGTGAAGCCGTCAGAGAGTGTAATTTGTTACTCAGGGGTTAGAACACTGGTTTTGAAAACTTTGGGTTGTGATTTCAAATCTCATTGCCCCTCTAGTTAGACTTTCATTTGACAGCAAAGACTTCGTACCTTCCCTAGCATTTGACAATATGGCTATTGCTGCTGTGCCTTGAAGACACAATTGTTTGGCTCCATAGCTAGGTTGTTAGATCACTGGTGTGTTAAACAATGGGTTGTAAGTTCAAATCAAATTGAGTCAATTTTTAGACTTTTGACACCAAAGACCTCTAATAGACCCTAGCATTTGGACACAATGGCTATTAGACATATTATTGTGCATTGTGCATATTATTGAATCGTTGCATAGCTCAGTGGTTAGAACACTTGTCTTGTAAACCATAGGTTGGGTATTCAAATCTCACTGATCCACTAGTTAGACCTTGTTTTGACACCAAAGACCTCTCACCCTCCCTAACATTGGACACAATGGCTATTAGGCTTTTAAGCTGCAGTGCCTTGTTGATGTAATTATGTGGTTCCATAGTTCAGTGGTTAGCTCCCTGGTCTTGTAAATAATGGGCTGAGAAATCAAGTCTCACTAATGATCAACTTAGCCCTTGTTTTGAGACCAAAGACCTCTTCCCTCCTGAGCATTGGACACAATAACCATTGTACTTTTGAGCTAATGTGCCTTGTTGAGATAATTGTAGAAATATTTAAATTAAACATAATGTCTGACTACATAGCTTAGTGGTAAGAGCACTGGTCTTGTAAACCAGGGGTCGTGAGTTCAAATCTCACTGGAGCCTTTTGTAAGACCTGTTTTGACACCACAGAATTCTAACTTGTTGAGACCGAAGTGATATTTTTTTAAATTTCAAAGGTGAAGCCGTCAGAGAGTGTAATTTGTTACTCAGGGGTTAGAACACTGGTTTTGAAAACTTTGGGTTGTGATTTCAAATCTCATTGCCCCTCTAGTTAGACTTTCATTTGACAGCAAAGACTTCGTACCTTCCCTAGCATTTGACAATATGGCTATTGCTGCTGTGCCTTGAAGACACAATTGTTTGGCTCCATAGCTAGGTTGTTAGATCACTGTTGTGTTTAACAATGGGTTGTAAGTTCAAATCAAATTGACTCACTTTTTAGACTTTTGACACCTAAGACCTCTAATAGACCCTAGCATTTGGACACAATGGCTATTAGACTTTTAAGCTGCTGTGCATTGTGCATATAATTGAATGGTTGCATAGCTCAGTGTTAGAACACTTGTCTTGTAAACCATAGGTTGTGTATTCAAATCTCACTGATCAACTAGTTAGACCTTTTTGACACCAAAGACCTCTCACCCTCCCTAACATTGGACACAATGGCTATTAGGCTTTTAAGCTGCAGTGCCTTGTTGATGTAATTATGTGGTTCCATAGTTCACTGGTTAGCTCCCTGGTTTTGTAAATAATGGGCTGAGAAATCAAGTCTCACTAATGACCAACATAGCCCTTGTTTTGAGACCAAAGACTTCTTCCCTCCTGAGCATCGGATACAATAACCATTGTACTTTTGAGCTAATGTGCCTTGTTGAAATAATTGTAAAAAATACTTAAATAAAACATAATGTCTGGCTTCATAGCTCAGTGGTTAGAGCACTGGTCTTGTAAACCAGGGGTTCGTGAGTTCAAATCTCACTGGAGCCTTTTGTAAGACCTGTTTTGACACCACAGAATTCTAACTTGTTGAGACAAAAGTGATATTTTTAGAATTTAAATGTGAGGCTGTCAGAGAGTGTAGTTTCTTGCTTAGTGGTTGCAAAACTGGATTTTGTAAACTTTGGGTTGTGAGTTAAAATCTTATTGCCCCCCCTAGTTAGTCTTTGATTTGACACCAAAGACTTCTTACCTTGGACCATGGGTTGAGAGATCAAATCTCACTCACACTCTTGTAAGTCTTTTGACACCAAAGTCCTCTCACCCTTCTTAGCATTGGACACAAGGCTGCTGTGCCTTGTTCATATGCTTTTATGGTTCCAGTGTTTAGTGGTTAGAGCAATTGTCTTTTAAACCATGGGTTGTGTGTTCAAATATCACTGATGCCCTAGTAAGACCTTGTTTTGACACCAAATACCTCTCACCCTCCCTAGAAGTGGACACAATGGTTATTAGACTTTTAAGCTGCAGTGCATTTTTGACATACTTGTGTGGTACCGTAGCTCAGTGGTTAGCAACCTTATATTGTAAAACATGAGCTGAGAGTTCAAGTCTCACTGAAGACCTACTTAGAGTTGGTTTTGACACCAAAGACTTATCATCCTCCCTAACATTGGACACAATGGCTATTAGACTTTTGAGCTGCATTGCCTTTTTGATATACTTATGTGGTTCCTTTGTTCAGTGGTTAGCTCCCTGGTCTTGTAAATAATGGGCTGAGAAATCAAGTCTCACTAATGACCAAATTAGCCCTTGTTTTGACACCAAAGACCTCTTCCCTCCTGAGCATTGGACACAATAACCATTGTACTTTTGAGTTATTGTGCCTTGTTGAGATAATTGTAGAAAATGCTTAAATAAATCATAACGTCTGACTACATAGCTCAGTGGTTAGAGCACTGGTCTTGTTAACCAAGGGTTGTGAGTTCAAATCTCAAGGGTAGTCTTTGTAAGACCTGTTTTGACACCACAGAATTCTAACTTGTTGAGACCAAAGTTATATTTTTTAAATTTCAAAGGTGAAGCCGTCAGAGAGTGTAATTTGTTACTCAGGGGTTAGAACACTGGTTTTGAAAACTTTGGGTTGTGATTTAAAATCTCACTGCCCCTCTAGTTAGTTTTTCATTTGACAGCAAAGTCTTCGTACCTTCCCTAGCATTTGACAATATGGCTATTGCTGCTGTGCCTTGTAGACACAATTGTTTGGCTCCATAGCTAGGTTGTTAGATCACTGTTGTGTTTAACAATGGGTTGTAAGTTCAAATCAAATTGACTCACTTTTTAGACTTTTGACACCTAAGACCTCTAATAGACCCTAGCATTTGGACACAATGGCTATTAGACTTTTAAGCTGCTGTGCATTGTGCATATAATTGAATGGTTGCATAGCTCAGTGTTAGAACACTTGTCTTGTAAACCATAGGTTGTGTATTCAAATCTCACTGATCAACTAGTTAGACCTTTTTTGACACCAAAGACCTCTCACCCTCCCTAACATTGGACACAATGGCTATTAGGCTTTTAAGCTGCAGTGCCTTGTTGATGTAATTATGTGGTTCCATAGTTCACTGGTTAGCTCCCTGGTTTTGTAAATAATGGGCTGAGGAATCAAGTCTCACTAATGACCAACATAGCCCTTGTTTTGAGACCAAAGACTTCTTCCCTCCTGAGCATCGGATACAATAACCATTGTACTTTTGAGCTAATGTGCCTTGTTGAAATAATTGTAAAAAATACTTAAATAAAACATAATGTCTGGCTTCATAGCTCAGTGGTTAGAGCACTGGTCTTGTAAACCAGGGGTCGTGAGTTCAAATCTCACTGGAGCCTTTTGTAAGACCTGTTTTGACACCACAGAATTCTAACTTGTTGAGACAAAAGTGATATTTTTAGAATTTAAATGTGAGGCTGTCAGAGAGTGTAGTTTCTTGCTTAGTGGTTGCAAAACTGGATTTTGTAAACTTTGGGTTGTGAGTTAAAATCTTATTGCCCCCCCCTAGTTAGCCTTTGATTTGACACCAAAGACTTCTTACCTTGGACCATGGGTTGAGAGATCAAATCTCACTCACACTCTTGTAAGTCTTTTGACACCAAAGTCCTCTCACCCTCCCTAACATTGGACACAATGGCTCTTAGGCTTTTAAGCTGCAGTGCCTTGTTGATGTAATTATGTGGTTCCATAGTTCAGTGGTTAGCTCCCTGGTCTTGTAAATAATGGGCTGAGAAATCAAGTCTCACTAATGATCAACTTAGCCCTTGTTTTGAGACCAAAGACCTCTTCCCTCCTGAGCATTAGACACAATAACCATTGTACTTTTGAGCTAATGTGCCTTGTTGAGATAATTGTAGAAAATATTTAAATTAAACATAATGTCTAACTAAATAGCTCAGTGGTTAGAGCACTGGTCTTGTAAACCAGGGGTCGTGAGTTCAAATCTCATTGGAGCCTTTTGTAAGACCTGTTTTGACACCACAGAAGTCTAACTTGTTGAGACCAAAGTGATATTTTTTAAATTTCAAAGGTGAAGCCGTCAGAGAGTGTAGTTTGTTGCACAGGGGTTAGAACACTGGTTTTGAAAACTTTGGGTTGTGATTTCAAATCTCATTGCCCCTCTAGTTAGACTTTCATTTGACAGCAAAGACTTCGTACCTTCCCTAGCATTTGACAATATCGCTATTGCTGCTGTGCCTTGAAGACACAATTGTTTGGCTCCATAGCTAGGTTGTTAGATCACTGTTGTGTTTAACAATGGGCTGTAAGTTCAAATCAAATTGACTCACTTTTTAGACTTTTGACACCTAAGACCTCTAATAGACCCTAGCAGTTGGACACAATGGCTATTAGACTTTTAAGCTGCTGTGCATTGTGCATATAATTGAATGGTTGCATAGCTCAGTGTTAGAACACTTGTCTTGTAAACCATAGGTTGTGTATTCAGATCTCACTGATCAACTAGTTAGACCTTTTTTGACACCAAAGACCTCTCACCCTCCCTAACATTGGACACAATGGCTATTAGGCTTTTAAGCCGCAGTGCCTTGTTGATGTAATTATGTGGTTCCATAGTTCACTGGTTAGCTCCCTGGTTTTGTAAATAATGGGTTGAGAAATCAAGTCTCACTAATGACCAACATAGCCCTTGTTTTGAGACCAAAGACTTCTTCCCTCCTGAGCATCGGATACAATAACCATTGTACTTTTGAGCTAATGTGCCTTGTTGAAATAATTGTAAAAAATACTTAAATAAAACATAATGTCTGGCTTCATAGCTCAGTGGTTAGAGCACTGGTCTTGTAAACCAGGGGTCGTGAGTTCAAATCTCACTGGAGCCTTTTGTAAGACCTGTTTTGACACCACAGAATTCTAACTTGTTGAGACAAAAGTGATATTTTTAGAATTTAAATGTGAGGCTGTCAGAGAGTGTAGTTTCTTGCTTAGTGGTTGCAAAACTGAATTTTGTAAACTTTGGGTTGTGAGTTAAAATCTTATTGCCCCCCCTAGTTAGTCTTTGATTTGACACCAAAGACTTCTTACCTTGGACCATGGGTTGAGAGATCAAATCTCACTCACACTCTTGTAAGTCTTTTGACACCAAAGTCCTCTCACCCTCCCTAACATTGGACACAAGGCTGCTGTGCCTTGTTCATATGCTTTTATGGTTCCAGTGTCTTTGTAAGACCTGTTTTGACACCACAGAATTCTAACTTGTTGAGACCAAAGTTATATTTTTTAAATTTCAAAGGTGAAGCAGTCAGAGAGTGTAATTTGTTACTCAGGGGTTAGAACACTGGTTTTGAAAACTTTGGGTTGTGATTTAAAATCTCACTGCCCCTCTAGTTAGTTTTTCATTTGACAGCAAAGTCTTCGTACCTTCCCTAGCATTTGACAATATGGCTATTGCTGCTGTGCCTTGTAGACACAATTGTTTGGCTCCATAGCTAGGTTGTTAGATCACTGTTGTGTTTAACAATGGGTTGTAAGTTCAAATCAAATTGACTCACTTTTTAGACTTTTGACTCCTAAGACCTCTAATAGACCCTAGCATTTGGACACAATGGCTATTAGACTTTTAAGCTGCTGTGCATTGTGCATGTAATTGAATGGTTGCATAGCTCAGTGTTAGAACACTTGTCTTGAAACCATAGGTTGTGTATTCAGATCTCACTGATCAACTAGTTAGACCTTTTTTGACACCAAAGACCTCTCACCCTCCCTAACATTGGACACAATGGCTATTAGGCTTTTAAGCTGCAGTGCCTTGTTGATGTTATTATGTGGTTCCATAGTTCACTGGTTAGCTCCCTGGTTTTGTAAATAATGGGCTGAGGAATCAAGTCTCACTAATGCCCAACATAGCCCTTGTTTTGAGACCAAAGACTTCTTCCCTCCTGAGCATCGGATACAATAACCATTATACTTTTGAGCTAATGTGCCTTGTTGAAATAATTGTAAAAAATACTTAAATAAAACATAATGTCTGGCTTCATAGCTCAGTGGTTAGAGCACTGGTCTTGTAAACCAGGGTTCGTGAGTTCAAAATTCACTGGAGCCTTTTGTAAGACCTGTTTTGACACCACAGAATTCTAACTTGTTGAGACAAAAGTGATATTTTTAGATTTTAAATGTGAGGCTGTCAGAGAGTGTAGTTTCTTGCTTAGTGGTTGCAAAACTGGATTTTGTAAACTTTGGGTTGTGAGTTAAAATCTTATTGCCCCCCCAGTTAGTCTTTGATTTGACACCAAAGACTTCTTACCTTGGACCATGGGTTGAGAGATCAAATCTCACTCACACTCTTGTAAGTCTTTTGACACCAAAGTCCTCTCCGCCTCCCTAACATTGGACACAATGGCTCTTAGGCTTTTAAGCTGCAGTGCCTTGTTGATGTAATTATGTGGTTCCATAGTTCAGTGGTTATCTCCCTGGTCTTGTAAATAATGGGCTGAGAAATCAAGTCTCACTAATGATCAACTTAGCCCTTGTTTTGAGACCAAAGACCTCTTCCCTCCTGAGCATTGGACACAATAACCATTGTACTTTTCAGCTAATGTGCCTTGTTGAGATAATTGTAGAAAATATTTAAATTAAACACAATGTCTGACTACATAGCTCAGTGGTAAGAGCACTAGTCTTGTAAACCAGGGGTCGTGAGTTCAAAACTCACTGGAGCCTTTTGTAAGACCTGTTTTGACACCACAGAATTCTAACTTGAGACCGAAGTGATATTTTTTTAAATTTCAAAGGTGAAGCCGTCAGAGAGTGTAATTTGTTACTCAGGGGTTAGAACACTGGTTTTGAAAACTTTGGGTTGTGATTTCAAATCTCATTGCCCCTCTAGTTAGACTTTCATTTGACAGCAAAGACTTCGTACCTTCCCTAGCATTTGACGAAATGGCTATTGCTGCTGTGCCTTGAAGACACAATTGTTTGGCTCCATAGCTAGGTTGTTAGATCACTGTTGTGTTTAACAATGGGTTGTAAGTTCAAATCAAATTGACTCACTTTTTAGACTTTTGACACCTAAGACCTCTAATAGACCCTAGCATTTGGACACAATGGCTATTAGACTTTTAAGCTGCTGTGCATTGTGCATATAATTGAATGGTTGCATAGCTCAGTGTTAGAACACTTGTCTTGTAAACCATAGGTTGTGTATTCAAATCTCACTGATCAACTAGTTAGACCTTTTTTGACACCAAAGACCTCTCACCCTCCCTAACATTGGACACAATGGCTATTAGGCTTTTAAGCTGCAGTGCCTTGTTGATGTAATTATGTGGTTCCATAGTTCACTGGTTAGCTCCCTGGTTTTGTAAATAATGGGCTGAGAAATCAAGTCTCACTAATGACCAAATTAGCCCTTGTTTTGACACCAAAGACCTCTTCCCTCCTGAGCATTGGACACAATAACCATTGTACTTTTGAGCTAATGTGCCTTGTTGAAATAATTGTAAAAAATACTTAAATAAAACATAACGTCTGGCTTCATAGCTCAGTGGTTAGAGCACTGGTCTTGTAAACCAGGGGTCGTGAGTTCAAATCTCACTGGAGCCATTTGTAAGACCTGTTTTGACACCACAGAATTCTAACTTGTTGAGACAAAAGTGATATTTTTAGAATTTAAATGTGAGGCTGTCAGAGAGTGTAGTTTCTTGCTTAGTGGTTGCAAAACTGGATTTTGTAAACTTTGGGTTGTGAGTTAAAATCTTATTGCCCCCCCTAGTTAGTCTTTGATTTGACACCAAAGACTTCTTACCTTGGACCATGGGTTGAGAGATCAAATCTCACTCACACTCTTGTAAGTCTTTTGACACCAAAGTCCTCTCACCCTTCTTAGCATTGGACACAAGGCTGCTGTGCCTTGTTCATATGCTTTTATGGTTCCAGTGTTTAGTGGTTAGAGCAATTGTCTTTTAAACCATGGGTTGTGTGTTCAAATATCACTGATGCCCTAGTAAGACCTTGTTTTGACACCAAATACCTCTCCCCCTCCCTAGCAGTGGACACAATGGTTATTAGACTTTTAAGCTGCAGTGCATTTTTGACATACTTGTGTGGTACCGTAGCTCAGTGGTTAGCAACCTTATATTGTAAAACATGAGCTGAGAGTTCAAGTCTCACTGAAGACCTACTTAGAGTTGGTTTTGACACCAAAGACTTCTCATCCTCCCTAACATTGGACACAATGGCTATTAGACTTTTGAGCTGCATTGCCTTTTTGATATACTTATGTGGTTCCTTTGTTCAGTGGTTAGCTCCCTGGTCTTGTAAATAATGGGCTGAGAAATCAAGTCTCACTAATGACCAACTAAGCACTTGTTTTGAGACCAAAGACCTCTTCCCTCCTGAGCATTGGACACAATAATTATTGTACTTTTGAGCTAATGTGCCTTGTTGAGATAATTGTAGAAAATACCTAAATAAAACAATCTCTGGTTACATAGCTTAGTGGTTAGGTTACTGGTCTTGTATTCCAGGGGTCATGAGTTCAAATCTCACTGGAGCCTTTTGTAAGACCTGTTTTTACACCACAGAATTCTAACTTGTTGAAACCAAATTGATATTTTTTAAAATTTCAAAGGTGAAGCCGTCAGAGAGTGTAATTTGTTACTCAGGGGTTAGAACACTGGTTTTGAAAACTTTGGGTTGTGATTTAAAATCTCACTGCCCCTCTAGTTAGTTTTTCATTTGACAGCAAAGTCTTCGTACCTTCCCTAGCATTTGACAATATGGCTATTGCTGCTGTGCCTTGAAGACACAATTGTTTGGCTCCATAGCTAGGTTGTTAGATCACTGTTGTGTTTAACAATGGGTTGTAAGTTCAAATCAAATTGACTCACTTTTTAGACTTTTGACACCTAAGACCTCTAATAGACCCTAGCATTTGGACACAATGGCTATTAGACTTTTAAGCTGCTGTGCATTGTGCATATAATTGAATGGTTGCATAGCTCAGTGTTAGAACACTTGTCTTGTAAACCATAGGTTGTGTATTCAAATCTCACTGATCAACTAGTTAGACCTTTTTTGACACCAAAGACCTCTCACCCTCCCTAACATTGGACACAATGGCTATTAGGCTTTTAAGCTGCAGTGCCTTGTTGATGTAATTATGTGGTTCCATAGTTCACTGGTTAGCTCCCTGGTTTTGTAAATAATGGGCTGAGGAATCAAGTCTCACTAATGACCAACATAGCCCTTGTTTTGAGACCAAAGACTTCTTCCCTCCTGAGCATCGGATACAATAACCATTATACTTTTGAGCTAATGTGCCTTTTTGAAATAATTGTAAAAAATACTTAAATAAAACATAATGTCTGGCTTCATAGCTCAGTGGTTAGAGCACTGGTCTTGTAAACCAGGGGTCGTGAGTTCAAATCTCACTGGAGCCTTTTGTAAGACCTGTTTTGACACCACAGAATTCTAACTTGTTGAGACAAAAGTGATATTTTTAGAATTTAAATGTGAGGCTGTCAGAGAGTGTAGTTTCTTGCTTAGTGGTTGCAAAACTGGATTTTGTAAACTTTGGGTTGTGAGTTAAAATCTTATTGCCCCCCCCTAGTTAGTCTTTGATTTGACACCAAAGACTTCTTACCTTGGACCATGGGTTGAGAGATCAAATCTCACTCACACTCTTGTAAGTTTTGACACCAAAGACCTCTCACCCTCCCTAACATTGGACACAATGGCTCTTAGGCTTTTAAGCTGCAGTGCCTTGTTGATGTAATTATGTGGTTCCATAGTTCAGTGGTTAGCTCCCTGGTCTTGTAAATAATGGGCTGAGAAATCAAGTCTCACTAATGACCAAATTAGCCCTTGTTTTGACACCAAAGACCTCTTCCCTCCTGAGCATTGGACACAATAACCATTGTACTTTTGAGCTAATGTGCCTTGTTGAGATAATTGTAGAAAATATTCAAAGTAAACACAATGTCTGACTACATAGCTCAGTGGTAAGAGCACTGGTCTTGTAAACCAGGGGTCGTGAGTTCAAAACTCACTGGAGCCTTTTGTAAGACCTGTTTTGACACCACAGAATTCTAACTTGAGACCGAAGTGATATTTTTTTAAATTTCAAAGGTGAAGCCGTCAGAGAGTGTAATTTGTTACTCAGGGGTTAGAACACTGGTTTTGAAAACTTTGGGTTGTGATTTAAAATCTCACTGCCCCTCTAGTTAGTTTTTCATTTGACAGCAAAGTCTTCGTACCTTCCCTAGCATTTGACAATATGGCTATTGCTGCTGTGCCTTGTAGACACAATTGTTTGGCTCCATAGCTAGGTTGTTAGATCACTGTTGTGTTAAACAATGGGTTGTAAGTTCAAATCAAATTGACTCACTTTTTAGACTTTTGACACCTAAGACCTCTAATAGACCCTAGCATTTGGACACAATGGCTATTAGACATATTATTGTGCATTGTGCATATTATTGAATCGTTGCATAGCTCAGTGGTTAGAACACTTGTCTTGTAAACCATAGGTTGGGTATTCAAATCTCACTGATCCACTAGTTAGACCTTGTTTTGACACCAAAGACCTCTCACCCTCCCTAACATTGGACACAATGGCTATTAGGCTTTTAAGCTGCAGTGCCTTGTTGATGCAATTATGTGGTTCCATAGTTCACTGGTTAGCTCCCTGGTTTTGTAAATAATGGGCTGAGAAATCAAGTCTCACTAATGACCAACATAGCCCTTGTTTTGAGACCAAAGACTTCTTCCCTCCTGAGCATCGGATACAATAACCATTATACTTTTGAGCTAATGTGCCTTGTTGAAATAATTGTAAAAAATACTTAAATAAAACATAATGTCTGGCTTCATAGCTCAGTGGTTAGAGCACTGGTCTTGTAAACCAGGGTTCGTGAGTTCAAAAGTCACTGGAGCCTTTTGTAAGACCTGTTTTGACACCACAGAATTCTAACTTGTTGAGACAAAAGTGATTTTTTTAGAATTTAAATGTGAGGCTGTCAGAGAGTGTAGTTTCTTGCTTAGTGGTTGCAAAACTGGATTTTGTAAACTTTGGGTTGTGAGTTAAAATCTTATTGCCCCCCCTAGTTAGTCTTTGATTTGACACCAAAGACTTCTTACCTTGGACCATGGGTTGAGAGATCAAATCTCACTCACACTCTTGTAAGTCTTTTGACACCAAAGTCCTCTCAGCCTCCCTAACATTGGACACAATGGCTCTTAGGCTTTTAAGCTGCAGTGCCTTGTTGATGTAATTATGTGGTTCCATAGTTCAGTGGTTAGCTCCCTGGTCTTGTAAATAGTGGGCTGAGAAATCAAGTCTCACTAATGATCAACTTAGCCCTTGTTTTGAGACCAAAGACCTCTTCCCTACTGAGCATTGGACACAATAACCATTGTACTTTTGAGCTAATGTGCCTTGTTGAGATAATTGTAGAAAATTTTTAAATTAAACACAATGTCTGACTACATAGCTCAGTGGTAAGAGCACTAGTCTTGTAAACCAGGGGTCGTGAGTTCAAAACTCACTGGAGCCTTTTGTAAGACCTGCTTTGACACCACAGAATTCTAACTTGAGACCGAAGTGATATTTTTTTAAATTTCAAAGGTGAAGCCGCCAGAGAGTGTAATTTGTTACTCAGGGGTTAGAACACTGGTTTTGAAAACTTTGGGTTGTGATTTCAAATCTCATTGCCCCTCTAGTTAGACTTTCATTTGACAGCAAAGACTGCGTACCTTCCCTAGCATTTGACAATATGGCTATTGCTGCTGTGCCTTGAAGACACAGTTGTTTGGCTCCATAGCTAGGTTGTTAGATCACTGGTGTGTTAAACAATGGGTTGTAAGTTCAAATCAAATTGAGTCAATTTTTAGACTTTTGACACCAAAGACCTCTAATAGACCCTAGCATTTGGACACAATGGCTATTAGACTTTTAAGCTGCTGTGCATTGTGCATATAATTGAATGGTTGCATAGCTCAGTGTTACAACACTTGTCTTGAAACCATAGGTTGTGTATTCAGATCTCACTGATCAACTAGTTAGACCTTTTTTGACACCAAAGTCCTCTCACCCTCCCTAACATTGGACACAATGGCTATTAGGCTTTTAAGCTGCAGTGCCTTGTTGATGTAATTATGTGGTTCCATAGTTCACTGGTTAGCTCCCTGGTTTTGTAAATAGTGGGCTGAGAAATCAAGTCTCACTAATGACCAACATAGCCCTTGTTTTGAGACCAAAGACTTCTTCCCTCCTGAGCATCGGATACAATAACCATTGTACTTTTGAGCTAATGTGCCTTGTTGAAATAATTGTAAAATATTTAAATTAAACATAATGTCTGACTACATAGCTCAGTGGTAAGAGCACTAGTCTTGTAAACCAGGGGTCGTGAGTTCAAATCTCACTGGAGCCTTTTGTAAGACCTGTTTTGACACCACAGAATTCTAACTTGTTGAGACAAAAGTGATACTTTTAGAATTTAAATGTGAGGCTGTCAGAGAGTGTAGTTTCTTGCTTAGTGGTTGCAAAACTGGATTTTGTAAACTTTGGGTTGTGAGGTAAAATCTTATTGCCCCCCCTAGTTAGTCTTTGATTTGACACCAAAGACTTCTTACCTTGGACCATGGGTTGAGAGATCAAATCTCACTCACACTCTTGTAAGTTTTGACACCAAAGACCTCTCACCCTCCCTAACATTGGACACAATGGCTCTTAGGCTTTTAAGCTGCAGTGCCTTGTTGATGTACTTATGTGGTTCCATAGTTCAGTGGTTAGCTCCCTGGTCTTGTAAATAATGGGCTGAGAAATCAAGTCTCACTAAAGATCAACTTAGCCCTTGTTTTGAGACCAAAGACCTCTTCCCTCCTGAGCATTGGACACAATAACCATTGTACTTTTGAGCTAATGTGCCTTGTTGAGATAATTGTAGAAAATATTTAAAGTAAACACAATGTCTGACTACATAGCTCAGTGGCAAGAGCACTGGTCTTGTAAACCAGGGGTCGTGAGTTCACAATTCACTGGAGCCTTTTGTAAGACCTGTTTTGACACCACAGAATTCTCACTTGAGACCGAAGTGATATTTTTTTAAATTTCAAAGGTGAAGCCGTCAGAGAGTGTAATTTGTTACTCAGGGGTTAGAACACTGGTTTTGAAAACTTTGGGTTGTGATTTCAAATCTCATTGCCCCTCTAGTTAGACTTTCATTTGACAGCAAAGACTTCGTACCTTCCCTAGCATTTGACAATATGGCTATTGCTGCTGTGCCTTGAAGACACAATTGTTTGGCTCCATAGCTAGGTTGTTAGATCACTGTTGTGTTTAACAATGGGTTGTAAGTTCAAATCAAATTGACTCACTTTTTAGACTTTTGACACCTAAGACCTCTAATAGACCCTAGCATTTGGACACAATGGCTATTAGACTTTTAAGCTGCTGTGCATTGGGCATATAATTGAATGGTTGCATAGCTCAGTGTTAGAACACTTGTCTTGAAACCATAGGTTGTGTATTCAGATCTCACTGATCAACTAG